TTTGAGCAGATCAAGTTTTCTATGGAATTTTTAAGGCAACACAGGAATGTATTACTACCTCCAAATCAAGAGCTTCTGAATATTGAAAATTTCTAAATCATCTAATTCTGGTTTTTACTTTTCTATTTCTTACATCACACACATGCAAGAAATGCAAATGTGGTTTAAATGAGTGGAAAGACAGTCTACATAATGAATGATCTTTAATCAGTACATTTCATTATGAAAAATAGCATAACTTTGCTCATTGAGTACAAGTGATCATTTGTTTCATACTTCAAGGTAAGAGATGGCTTCTTAATTTAAGAGGAAAAATTTTAAAAGAAGACCCTTTATTCCTTGTTTTTTAAAAGTTTTAAAGTTTTGTAGTTTTTCAGGGTGTCTTTAGTAGATATTTTATTAAATACAATTTATTTTTCTCAGTTGCAAGGGAATGTATGTGATTGACACTATATATGCTTTCCAGTATTATTCTAAATCAGACACAGCTACAAAAATGAACTTGTTTTCAATGATTTGTGTCTGTTCTGTCATTTGAGAGAACCAAGCTGATTTTTTAAATGCCAAGAAAATTTCCCTGATTTGAATATATTTGAGGGGAATGTATTCTAATATTTCTTGATAATAAAGACCATCAGGCTTTAAAAATATTCTAATCAGACTGTTTTAGGTGGTGAACTGAGAACCAAAGTTGCAGGTGAATCCCATTTTATGACAAACAAACATATAAGCAAACTAACCCAAATGATTCTATTTTGATCCAACTCAAAATGTTTATGATCTCACAGGAAGGCAAAAAGCTCTAATATAAGAGACCTACAAATTGTCCTACGATATTTGTCCAGATGGGAGATTTATGATAGCAGGCAAAGAGAGGCAATAAAGTGGTGTGGGCTGGTTTTCAGTTTTCATTATTTATGTTGAAAATAATATATTCACAGGACTGAAAAAAAGATCACACAGTAAAAGTCTGTCTTTATCACCCTCGATTCTAAGCTGTCAACTGCTGGTTGCTATTTCTTCAGAAAATTTCAGTACATATAAGGCACATCTTCTTTCTTCACCCAATGGGAATGGATCACTTGCAGTGTTCTTTAGGTTTTTTTGAACATTTTTATCACAAGTTTTCTGCAGTTTCACATGTGAATCAACCTCACTGCTTCAAAAAAGCATCACAGTACTCCATCTTACATACAAAATACAAAAAAACACATACATACATATAAAATACAGATAAGACCCAGTATACTATTGCAATAGGGTGTAATGGGCAATTCATAATGGGAAGCCTTTGTGCATATTTAGAATTATAGTTTTAGATAGTTCTTACTCTAGAAATTTCTCTGTGAAAGGGTATATACGTGGATTTCAATATTGGTGGATTTTCAAATTGGCCTTCAAAAAGATTGTATCAATTTACACTCCTATCAACAAAATATAATCAACAAAGGCAATCAACCCTCTAGATTACCAAATATTAATCTTGACATCTCCTTAGATTCTTCTTTGTCATTACTGTTTCTTTGAATAGCTCCATGTTCAAACTCCTTTCAGTTTCCTATGGGTCATTTTCTTAAATATAGCATAAAGGTGTTTCTATATATTAAATTAGACCTTTGATTACTAGACATCCACAGATATTAATGCTAGTTTTAAAAAATACGCCTTTTGGCTTTAAGTGTCGTATTTATGCCTTGGATATTTAAATAAAGTACTGCTTTTCATTAAGGTTTCTTGATTTTGTGTTTCAATTTAGAAAGCTTGACCCACCACTGAAACCAACTAATCTATCAACAAATTGCTAAAATTTTCTGTGAGTGATAACGATAATGGTGATGATAATTTTAAGCTGCCTACCTTTTTGTCTCAAAACATGTGCAGAACAAATAATTTTCTTTACTGGTTGAAAATTTTATTACATTTTAAAAGTCCTTGGGTATGTGAATTTTTTTTTTTTTTTTTTGTGGTACTGGGGCTTGAATTCAGGGCCTACACCTTGAGCCACTCCACGAACCCTTTTTTGTGAAGAGATTTTTTTGAGATAGGGTCTTGTGGAACTATTTGCCTGGGCTTGCTTTGAACCACCATCCTCCTAATCTCTGCCTCCTGAGTACCTACGATTATAGACATGAGCCACCTGTGCTTGGCAAGTATGTGAACATTTTATCTAAATGACTTTAATCTAATTATTTATGTGTTTTTCCTCTAGTAGAATCAAACTCTTTCAACTCCTTTGGTTTATAAAATGTTTGTAAAGAAGTGGGATTACTCTACTATTTCAGAATACAGTTTCCCAACTGTAGTCATAAATTATTTTAATACATTATTTGTAATATTGGTGACCTTGCAAATTCTTCTCTCTTCATTTTTGTTGCTTTTTGAGAAATGGTTTCTCTATGTAGTCCAGGTTGACCTTGAACTCAGCTTCCTGAGTTTTGGGATTGCAAGTGTCACTACCACACATGGCTAATTAATTTATAAATAGCAGACATTTAAAAAATATCCATTCTTTGTATTCAAAACCAATATATAACTTTCAGTTTTTCAAGTCCTGATTTTTTTTTCTCTGAGAATTTAAGATTTTTCTTCTTACAGCTTATCAGTTGTAAGCACTTGCTCAGAATGGATCTGATCTACTGTGTGAAAAAAGAAAAAAACTAATTTCCATTCTAAATTTCTGCAAATTTCTTGCTGACTTTGTACCTCTATAATTCCTGTTAAATTGACAGTGTAACCAATATCTTCTATTACATTTTAAAATGGATTGAATGTCTGTACATTGAAAAATTAATGAATTATGCAATTTTTCTTCAGCTACTTCTTTGTATTCTTGATGTTTTTACAATTTTTCCTTTGAAACTGCATATTTTCCAGAGATGCAAAATCAAACTATCTGATAAGTTTCTTCTTTCTTTATTACTTTTAACATCTTGCTTATTTGTAGTATCTTATAACACTAATTAGTGGTTTAGAACGATATCAAATAGTTGTAGTACCTGTGGATACTTTTGTATTTTCCCTAATTTCAGATAATACTTGCACATGTCTAGTCTACCACCCTAGGATGAAAAGTGGCATTCCTGTAAATTTTCAGATGAAAATGAAAGACCACAAAAAACTATATTGCATTTGACTCTATCCCTGCTTCTTAGGAGAATGGTGAAAATATTGAGGCTCTCAGGTTTCATCTATCCATCCAGAATTTGAATGAAAACATATCATATATTTTAGTTTTCAGTTAGTTTGCAAGGTAGTGTTAATCATTGGTTTATACAATATTAAATACTTTTGTGTAGAAACATAGAAAACAAATGTTTTATAGAAAGGAAGTCTGTGAGTGTGAGTGTGCGTGTGTGTTGCCAACATAGCATGAAGTTGGCAGAAGTGCTGAATATCAGAGTTTTGTTTTAATTTATAATCTTCCTATATAGGCATTTTCATTAATTACTATAGATAAGCCTAAATTTGATGTAACTTTTATTTAGGTTTTGTGGCATCTTTCTCTTCTTATCATTAAAAGTTTATGTATTTGAAATCTTTACAAATAAGTGAGCTAAAACAAATAAAACTCAATTCACTTGAGATTTTGTCAACATCTGATGCAGTTATTTTCTGAGTAATTAGACCAATAGGTGGGCAATTCCCTGAAGTAAGCTACCCTAAAATTGGATACCTAGTTATTTCTGCAGTCAGCAGCTCATATACAGTGAACATATTGATTCACAAATTGATACTCAATTATGTAGAGTTGCTACCTGATTTCCTAACACTGTTTGCATTCTATGTGTTCCACATGCTTCTTAAAAGATGCCTCTTCTTAGAGTCTATTCTATGTCTGTATGTCCCATTTATACTGTTGGGGACATTGAAAGTACTGGTCTGTACTCATCTTTGATTAATTCAGCACTTGGGCAGAAATATAAATTATTTATAATTTGGATTTTGAAAATATGCATCCACTTTGGTGCATAGGGATATCTACAAAGAATGGGAAAATATTTAAATGCTTCTGTTTTATCATTTTGTCACTATTTAGGCTGGAAATATTAATTATTGAAGTATTAATACCTAAAATAGATGTTTTAAGTTTATAGAATCATAGATCTGGAAGGTATTTGAAAGTTCAAAGAGTTATTCTTCCTGCTGGAGAGCAAAAACAATTAAACCACAGAAGAAAGGTATGAATCTTTCCAATTTAAAAGAACTCTATGACATTCCACAATAATCCTAATTACTCATTATGGATTAAGACATTGCTATTAAGAAATTTTTCTTTATAGCTAATCTTAATCCTAAAGTTATTAAGTATTTTATTTCATTCTATTATATTCTTTAATATTTTATTTTTAGGAAAGATATTGGAAGGTCACGATATGTGACCATATCGTGGTCACAGATACTCTGATCAAAACCCACCCAGAAAATGGTTTCTTTTGCTCCTTTCTTGCTCCTGGACCTCATACTATCACCGCTCTTTCACTCTCAATTCAACTTCAGATCTGAGTGAGTGAGTTAGGATTCATTTGTGGCTGTAAGTTGGAGATATAGGAAATATAGACCATTTATAAGTTCCTTATAGATGTTACAAAGGAAAACTATGCATGTGGATTACCATTTGGCAGTGATGCCAATAAGCACAATTTGTTCTTAATTGAACATTCACCCCAGATTTCAGGATATTGGGATCAGGATACCATCCAAGTGAAATTCAAGGACATCTTCTGTCTAGGGCATTTGACATTAATCCAGACTGTTCATTCACATTATTTGTCTTCACAAGTACAAGTCATGTTTTAATTTCATGTAGTCCAACAGGAATTAAGGATTCATTCCTCATGGTTTACTTTGCAAGGGATAGAATGAGATCATTAAATTTTAATCAAACTGGTTAAAAACTTTTTGCCAAAAGATAATTTCATTTTCAGTTTCACCAATTGAAATAACACTATGACAGCTAGCCAGTGTCATAAGTGAATGTTGAACTGCAATCCAAAACTCACCAGAGGTTTCATCTACTCTCTCGTCTACAATGTGGTCCTTCTGATGAACCCATTCACTGTTGCACTTGAAGTAGATCTGAGTGGCGGGGCTGGCTTTACAATACAGGTTCACAGGTTTATTCTTCACAATATAAGCTTCTTCAGGTTCAATAAGGAAATGTGGCAGAGGCTCAGGTGGATCAGATGGAAAAGTTTCTGGGAGTTCATGAAAAAAGTCATCATCTAGTGAACAAGAAGAAAGTAGAACATGGTGAAACATAACAACTTGCCTGTAAGTTGCATTATTCATTTAAAAATACTAACTTATAAATGAACTAATAAAGTGATTTAAATGCCTGCTATGTGTAAACAGTGTGTTAGGGCTGATGCCTGATTGCTCAATAACAGATCTGGATTATTCTCATTTCTACATAAGGCAACACTCAACACCAGGGAGAACAAATAAGCTGCCCATAAAACACAGGTAATGAATAATAACACAACTTAGATTGGGACTCAGGTCTGCCTCACCCCAAAACTGTGATATTTCCCATGTATTACTGCACTTCCCAATTTAGAAGGTTACTCTTGAGAGCTGAAACAAATAAAAGCAACTGCATAAGAAAAATTAGTTTGGGAAGTATAAGGTTTAGAGGTCAACCTTAAGTCCTTTAAAGGAGATGAGTTGAAACACTAGAAACACACATTAAGGATTTTTAAGTTCAGATTCAAATCTATCATTATTTTCAAAAGATGCCACTGTATAAAACATTCACTCATTCATTCAGACAAAAAATATTTATTGATCTCAGAATTACCTAAAGCACTGGAAGTATAAATGAAAATGTCAAGTCAGTCAATAGTAGAGACATCATAGAGCCTACAGTCTTGAAATGCTATTTGGACTTACTTTGAAATTACATTGTTGATGTCACATGGTGGTATATGACTAGAGAAACCTATTCTCATTAGAATATTACTGAGTGTTATCATGAGCAGCAATCTCATTTTTACAGAATTGAAAATTATCAGACATATTTTTCCCACCCTGGTGCTCCAGCACCAGTGGATGAATACAACCAAATAGTCACGTAAAATATTTGTATTCTTTGCAGTATTTAAAATTTTCTTAAACTTATATTCTAAATGAGTCTATGTTGTTTTAAAACAATCCTAAAAGTGCTTTCTCATAAAACCTATTATCATGATTTACAAAAGTCAAGGTAAAATAATCTTTCCAATAAACTGTAAGTAAGTTAAGCCTGATATGTACCTTCCTATGATGAACAGAGAAGAAAAAACTTTGATTAACTCCTGAAATATGCTAATAAGTAGGGTTAAAACTCTGGTATCAAAATTAAAACGTTTACAGATACTTTATGGATTCATATATGCAGTAGCAAAGATAGGCTGTAGTGTTGGTTCTTAAAAACTGCTTGCTCAGATGTTAACTTGAAACTCATTTCATTACTCATTCAGTTGTTTTCCTCACTGTGGGAGCTAGCCATTGATGAAGTGGACATCTGTCCATTAAGAAATCTGGCCTGGAACTTTTTTCATCTAGGTCATGGGATAGCTGTCAAATAGAAATGACACCCAGGCTCTGCCAATCTGTTTTGCAGTAAAAATTGGCTTCGCTTACATCACAGACAAAACTAGCTTTCAAAGCTGCTCCACAATTGTCATTTCCAGACACTGGCCTGTAATGATGCATTCTGCAGCTCGTGTTTTTTCTCACTTTACTTCCTTAATTTGATTCCTTCTGGAAAGGCATCATTTCTAGTTTTTCCATTGTCAAACAACAAGAACCCAAACTGTCAACTTACTAAAGAATAACCTTGTTTCCATCAATTCAACTCTTCTGGTCAATATGCAAGAACACTCAAGACTGCTTAAATAAACATAGCTCAGAAAGGCAAAGGGATGAGGAACTAACTATTGACAGATCCATCACCACAAACTGATATCCTGAAGACCTTATGCAATTGCTTTTTCTTCCAAAGCACTTACTGTCATTGATGAGGATGGACCGTGCTGATAATCAATGAAGCGCCACAAAATATGGAACTCAAATTTCTACAGAGGAGTAGTTTTTTTTTAATGATTTTTCAAAAAGTTAAATAAAATGCTAAGCTAAATTTTTAAATTTTTTTCCATGGGTTGATGCTTGTGCACACAATTATGATATGTGAACATGTGAATCCTCTTAAAATCCATATATTTACTTAATTATGTAATCAAAGGAATTATTACAAGATACCAAAAGATTGCAATATTTATATATGTTTGCATCCTATAGAAAGGCTTCATAGAGACACTAAATATTTATTTCCCTGTCTTGCCAAAACATGCAACTCTTTATTCTGATTATTTTATTGTAAACTACAGAGAGGACTAATTGAAAATGGGAAAAATACTACATGCATCTTTAAGTTAAAAGGGGCTGTAATAAATGCTGGGTGTGGGGAGACTAATGATTTTATAATATATTTAGAAAACAAATGAATAAACTAACTTTGAATTTTCTTAATTTTGAGTTTAATACAAGATAAGCACTACAAATAAAGAACAATAAATTTATGTCTTGATTTGTGGTTTCACACAGTTTTGATTTTTCAAGGTGCAGTGTTAACATTTAAAAAATAAACCTTATAAGAAATGGTTTCCATCATTAGAAATGTTTTGGTCGTATGACAAATCAAATATTTCTTTCACATATCATTCTAGTTCCTTCAAGGCCTATTTCTTATTGCTGCCCTGGAAATTTGCCTTATCTAACGATAGCATATTAGCCTACTAATATTTCTTATGATGATATTCATACTATAAATTTGACTCTATGTTCCAGATGATGTCACATTAGACAACATGGCATATCACTTCTTGTACTCAATTCATGTGCTAAAAATAAGTGTTAGTCACAAAATTTCATGACCCTTAGTTTGTAGATATGCAGGTGTCAATAGATATCTTAGTTTCTGGATATGTAGATGCAACTAAGCTGATTATTAGGGAATTCGGAAGTTGTGAAATTCCTGCCTTTTTTGATTTCAACACGTCCTGGGTCTCCTACCCAGCCATGGGAGTTGTTCCACATGACATTTTCCCCACCATCAAGTTAAGCATGCTAAGAGACTTTGATTCCTTTGATTTCTCTAGACAAAAATGCCAAGAGGCAGAATTAATTTACAAATATGATGGTGTTTTAGATACTGTCTTTTTAATAACATTTTACATTGAAATGTTCTTTCAGAGTATGTTTTGGAAATCAAACAACCAAGTCTGTACTCCTCAATCAAAAGGATAAAGAAAACTTCCAAGTATTCAAATATCCAGCATGGCTAAATCTATGCATATTTAATGAAGAAAAATAATCAGCTACAAATGCCACTTACTCCACATGAACATTTAACTACTCTGCTCCATGCATTTGCCTCTCATGTACGTGGATAAATTTAATCTTCAGCTTTGGTAACCACTTTACCAAAATTATTATTATTATCAATCTTCAAAAACATAGAAATATATAGCAAATGCTTAACATTGAAGTGGAAACCATTTGAAAGTAGGATCTGTATTGTTTTCATTTTTATTTTCTTAAGTCTAGTGTAGTACCAGGCATATTTTCAAAGGTTAATAACAATCTTTAAAACTCATGAATATTACACTGATGGCAACTTTAATCATTTCTAGAGATTTAGAAGGTATTTTGGAGTTTATGGTACCTCAAATAAATTTATCAATATGATATGTCATAATTATTTTCACAAACAGGACTAGCTATATAATGGCTCAGTGTAGAAAGGAAGAATCAGGGTCCCTTGTTAAAACTGTGTTAAGAATTGTGAGATGTTGACAGCAGAACATTAAGTCAAGCCCTGATCTCTTGTGCTAGCACAGGTCACAACACCCAGGAATCCGGTCCACTCTACAAATGTCAGTAAACTGAGCATTCTACTTCATAAACAATCTGAAAAAATGAAAACACATTTATCTTAATAGGTACTCATTTTGGAACTTATTTGGTGTTTCCTAGCATTTTTTTTTTGTCTAGAAGACATAGATTTTTATATTGAGAAACACAGGCTCCAGCCAATTTTTGCAATAGGAAAGTGAAGGCCTAAGACTTTACCTGTTTGTGTTTTTCCCTTTGGATATATTCCAGTGCCCATTCATGGGCCTGATCCAAAACAAGGAAAACTCTGCCATGCCGAGGCTAACTCTTTCAGGACTACTGGAGGTCTATTAACTACATGGAGATCAGAATGATTGAGATTCTATCTTGAGCTGATAGACAATTTATTGTCATTCATTTTACTACACAGACAAATCAGCTTTCTGATACTATGAGGTCGTAGTGCAAAACTTGAAGCTATAAGATTTGATTTGATTTTTTCCACAGGGAGATCGGTGACTGTATCCTCTTATCACTTTATTTCGTACTACAAATATCTAAGAGGTGATATCAAGGTGACAGTAGGAACTCAATTTGTGAACAGCAACTTCAGACTGTGAACTTATTTCTGGCAAAATGTTTCAGTTATCCTAAACTACTATATTTTATAAAAAAATGTATACTTCAGCTTGGTATTGATTTTGTTACTCTATTTGGCCAAATGACTTGAATAATGAAATTGCTATCCAAAGCAAAATTATCCAAGTTGTTTTTGTTCTTTACACTGAATTCAGTATTAACTTAAAGTTATTGCCTTTTGTGATGTAAATGTTTCATCACTTTTCACTTTACTCCCCTCTAACACTTGACTTAATTTTTTACTTCCTACTATTACTTGGCAAAGACATTCCAACTGTAGTGCCACTTTTATCTTGCTATCAGTAAATCTCAGTATTTCCTTTCCTGTTATCTTAAACAGACTTTTGCTTTTTCATTTACATATAAGAAGAGAAAGCTTTGCATCATGTATTATTTTTATAGACTTTCATTCCACCTAATTCTTGACAGGAAAATATTATGCTATGAACATCAATCTAGGAAGCTTTAGGTTTCTGGTTTTATAGCTATATATCGAGCCTTAATTTTCATCAACTTAATATATAAGTTTCTGTATTTCTGAATCATAAGACTTAAACTATTATTGCTTATATCATAAAATATAGGACCATTATCTCTTTGTCTGAGACTTGAAGCGTATTCTTCTGAAATGGAATTTATTTCCAAATGATTCAAGAGCAATTTAAAATGAATGACTGCAAAGCTAATTTTATCTGCATTTGGCTACCCATCCATCAGGGAGATAATTCATGATATATTACAACAAA